GAAGCAATGCTGTTCCCTTTTGCGGAGACGAAAGCCGTGCTTGATGTAGGCAACCAGGAACTAAGCTTCAAAGCAGTTGTGGTGGATGGAGGTCTGATACAGGTTCAGAACTGGAGCCCAATCTGCAATGAAGTCGAAGTTCAAGATGGGTGTGTTTGGCTGAAGCTAATAGGCCTTCCATTTCACCAAGGCGAGACCCTGTTCTTGAGTATATAGTGCAGAGCCTGGGAGGTATTTTAGTGAAGGCTGATAGACGTAACCTGAGTGCAGTGGAGTTACAGGTTGCTGGTGTTAGACACGAGAACTTGCCGAGGTTCTTTGAAATCTGTTTGGATGAAGCCTAGTACAAGGTGTGGGTGGCTTCAGAAGTCGAACGGTCGTGGTGGGAAGGAGGTCCTAAGGTTGAAGATGATGAGATGGCAGGGTGGTGGACATGTGGAGGGAAGAGGGAGGGCGGTGAAAAGGTGGAGCAGATGAAGGTTAAATCTGGGGTTACTGTGTCGGCTAGGGAAAACCAAAAGATAGGCAACCTATTTAAGGAAATTAATTCAAATGGGTTTGAATTGGGCTTTTCATCTTATGCTGACGTGGCAAAGTAGATATCTTCTAGGAGCAGAATGGCTTGGTCCAAGCTGGTGAAGGTACCGGGACAACATTGGAAGGAGCCACGTGACAACTTAAAATGTCACATGGGTGGGTTGGACAGGTTGGAAAGTGAACCGGGCCACTCATTTAAGGGCCAACGTGACAACTTTGGTGGTCACGCAAGCCGGGCGGGCCTAATACCGAACACAGGTCTTTTTCGAATGACTCACATGATAACTTAAGTTGTCACGTAGGAAAAGGGGAAGGACTATGTGGAGAGGTCTGAGGGCTGCAGTATGTTGGACAATATGGGAAGAAAGAAAATTCAGGATATTCTCAGCAATTGAGAGAGGGGTGGAAGAATTAAAGGGTATCATTCATTTTAGGGCTATACAGTGGCTGAAATCTTTGGAACTATTCATAGGTTACACAGTGGATGACATGTTGAGGAAGTGGGGTGAAATAGCAAAATGCACATCGACCAAGTCAGTAATGAGTGTGTCTTGGACACCTCCACCTGCTGGGTTCTTGAAATTAAATTTTGATGGGAGTAGTAGGGGGAACCCTAGACAATCAGGGATTGGGGGTGTCTTTAGGGATGAGAATGGGGTGAAATAGCAAAATGCACATAGACCAAGTCAGTAATGAGTGTGTCTTGGACACCTCCACCTGCTGGGTTCATGAAATTAAATTTTGATGGGAGTAGTAGGGGGAACCCTGGACAATCAGGGATTGGGGGTGTCTTTAGGGATGAGAATGGGGTGAAATAGCAAAATGCACATAGACCAAGTCAGTAATGAGTGTATCTTGGACACCTCCACCTGCTGGGTTCATGAAATTAAATTTTGATAGGAGTAGTAGGGGGAACCCTGGACAATCAGGGATTGGGGGTGTCTTTAGGGATGAGAATGGGGTAACTTTTGCCTTGTTCTCAGGCCCAATTAGAGTGGGTGACTCCCTTAGAGCTGAGATCTTTGCAGTTATGGAAGGAGTCCAGAAAGCCAAGGAGATGAACATCAAAAAACTCTTAATTGAAGGGGATTCGGAGGTGGTGATAGGGTGGCTGAATGCAGACAGCAATGGTTTATGGAGGTACAGTAATCAGAGGAGGAAATTTAAGTGGCTGGGGCRGGAGATGGAAGTTAAAATGTGCTGGGTCAAAAGATCAGCCAATTCTCTAGCTGATGGTTTAGCTAAACAAGGGGCAGAAAGGGATTCAATGTTTTGGGCTAAGTTGTAATTTTTTGTCTCTACCTATTCTTTTGTTTTCTTGATTGTACTTGGAAGATAAGTGTGTTTGTCTTCCTTATGTAACTTCTTTGGTGAATTAATGAAATTGTTATTGATCAAAAAAAAAAAAATCCTAGAATCATTGGAAATGAAAAATGTTAGGAGTACTTTGACGAGGCACTCACTATTTTAACATAATTGGGGGGGGGGGGGAGAGAGAGAGAGAGAAACCATTTCTGCATTACATGCTTATTTTAAAATAACTTAAGGGTTGGGTGGTGACAGTTATCCCTGGTTTGAGATCTCCCCATATTTCAAGTAATTGCTACATTACAGTGATGTACACTTTCTGTGGCCATTCTTTATGAAACATGAGCCAGAGATGTAAAATACATGTTGCACCATTTTGAATGTTCCCGTTTATTTGGCTATAGATATGAATATGACTCAAAATTCTTGTAGATAAAGGCTCAAGTAGGTTGTTTGATCCTGTTCTAATGATAACTTGATGATTTTCTTTATCCAGGTGAAAGAACTCTCTGAATCTCTTGATGGACGTATTTCAGCACTGGAGAAGTTGAAAGAAGTTGAAGCTCCAAGACATGTGGAGGCCACAGAGTAGATGGCATGAGGTTCTGCTTTTGATAAAAGTTCCATTTGTTAGCTCCTGAAATCTTTTTTTTACGTCATATAAGAACCATGAATGCAATTTTCGATAATAATCACTACTCAGTATGATATGCCAGAACTTATTTGTTACAATACAATGATTCTAATACTGATCTTTTTTTAGTTGATATATTTCTTTTTCCTTTTCTTTTGGACACACTAATCCAAGATTTTGGTAGATTTCTGTATTCCTGAATTTCTCAAGGAACAATGGTTAGTCATTACCATCTATAAACCACAATCAAGCATATAAGAGAGAACAATGGTCCTTAACCCCTCATGCAATTAGAGGCTGATGAGGGCAGATTTGGCCCTCCAGTGAAATTGTGACATGTGGCACCTCGTGACAAATAGGCGACACCCAAGCAACAACTTACCA